TCCTAGGATTCATCATTTCTCCAGACCAAGTCATTGTGGATCCCTCCAAAGTCAAGGCGGTCTTGGAATGGCCTTCTCCTACCGATCGCAAACCGCTTCAAAGGTTTCTGGGGTTTGCTAACTTTTACAGATGTTTCATCAGAAATTATAGCCTCGTAGCAGCCCCTCTCAATGCTCTCACATCATCTAAGACCAAGTTTGTATGGAACAAGATGACAGAAAGAGCTTTTGTCAAGCTCAAAGGTTTATTTACGTCTGCTCCTGTTCTATGGTCCCCTAACCCCGAAAAACAGTTCATAGTGGAGGTCTACGCCTCTAACACTGGGGTTGGAGCAGTCCTAAGCCAAAGAGGTTCTGATGATCGTATTCACCCATATGTCTTCTTTTCTAGGACTTTGTCCCAAGCAGAACGCAATTATGATGTGGGGGACCTAGAACTGCTGGCAGTCAAGTTGGCTCTCGAGGAGTAGAGGCATTGGCTAGAGGGGGCTAAGGAACCGTTTCTTGTTTGGACAGATCATAAGAACCTGGAGTACATGAGATCAGCTAAGCGCCTTAATTCCAGGCCGGCAAGATGGGCTTTATTTTTTTGGAAGATTCAACTTCTCTCTGTCTTTCAGACCTGGAATCAGAAATGGCAAACCGGATGCCCTGTCCAGAATACAGGAACCCTCTGAGTCACAGGCCTCTGGAGAGGATGAGTTGATTCTCCTGGAATCAGTGAGACTCTCTGTCACCATGTTGGAGTTGGAAGGAGAGGTTAGAGATGCCACCAAAGACCTCCCTATCCCATCTTCATGCCCACCTGACCGGTGTTTTTTCCCAGAACGCCTCGTACCCAAGGTACTTAATTCATGCCATAATTCACGTCTGTTCTGTCATCCTGGTATCAGCAGGATGTTGCAGATGGTCCGGACTCAGCTTTGGTGGCCATCTCTTGTCAAAGATCTTACAGATTACGTCACGGCCTGTACTCAATGTTCCCAAGCCAAGTCTTCTCGTCGTCCTCCTGCTGGACTCTTACATCCACTACCTATTCCTCCTCGTCCCTGGTCGCACATAGCCATGGACTTTGTGACAGGTTTGCCAGTTTCTAATGGCTTCACAGTTCTGCTAACTGTCATCGACAGGTTTTCTAAGAGGGTTCACCTTGTCCCCCTCAAGAAGTTGCCTTCAGCCAAGGAAATGGGGGACATTTGGCACGTGAGGTTTTTCGCCTTCACAGCATACCCACAGACATTGTCTCGGACAGAGGGTCCCAGTTCGTGTCACGTTTCTGGAGAGAGTTTTGTTCCTTTCTGGGGATTACAGTCAGTTTGTCCTCAGGATTTCACCCACAGTCGGACGGACAAACTGAGAGGGCCAACCAGGAGGTGGAGACCAAACTTCGCGCACTGTGAGTCAGACGCAACAAAATGGTCTCAAAATTTACCCTGGGTTGAAAATGTTGTCAACACCCTCCCGGCTAGTGCCACGGGGTTATCCTCTTTTCAAGTTGTGTTTGGTTTTCAGCAACCCTTGTTCACAGTCCAGGAGAAAGAAGCTGAGGTTCCTTCTGCTCAGGCCGCGGCCCTAAGATGTCAGCGCATCTGGAAAAAGGCAAGAAGGTCCATGATCAGGATGTCGGAGGTGCAGGCATGCACAGCAAATCGTCGGAGAGTCCCTGCTCCAAGCTACCAGGTGGGACAGAAGGTTTGGCTGTCCACCAAGGACCTCCCGCTTCTGGTTGACTCCCGTAAGCTGGCACCTCGTTTTGTGGGACCTTTTCCCATATCCAAGATCATCAATCCTGTGGCTGTTCGTTTACGTCTGCCTCGTACCATGAGAGTTCACCCTACCTTCCACGTGTCCTGGATCAAGCCCTATGTGGTGTCCCGTCTCGTGCCCACCTCCAGGCCCCATCCACCTGCCCGGCTACTTGCTGATGGCCTGGTCTACACTGTCCGGCGCATCATCCAGTCCAGACAGCAGGGACGTGGCATACGTTATCTGGTGGACTGGGAGGGCTACGGTCCTGAGGAGAGGTCCTGGATTCCTGCACGATTCATCGTGGACAAAACCCTCATCCGGGATTTCCACCGCCTCCATCCTGATCTGCCTCGGGGTCCGTCCAGAGTCGGACCTTGAGGAGGGGGTACTGTTATGATTCTGGCCGGTCTGCCAGCTCTGCTCTCACTCATGCAATCAACTCATCTGCTTCACCTGTCTGCTGCTGTGCAATCACCGTCATGCCACACACCTGTGGAGCTGCAGTTATATACTGCCATCTGACAGGCAGATGGTGCCAGATTTTTGAAAAAATTTGTGAGTAGTTATCCAGCGTTCCTTCCTGACTGATCTAGTTCTCTGACCTTGCCTTGCCTCACGGATTTTTGCCTGCCTGCCTGCTCCTTGTCTGACGGATTGGATTTCTGGATTTCGACTCTGTTTTCTGCCTCTGGTTTTCTGCCTCTGACTGCCCCTTGTCTGACGCCTCTAGCCCTGGAATTCGACCCTGTTTCTGTCCCTGGATTTACACCTCAGCCTAACCACTGGTTTATTCAGCCTGAGCCCGCCTGGCTCTCAAATCCGCTTGGAATTATTGTCAAGAGGACAATCACAGCTCTCTGTGTTCCGGTCACAGCTTCAGCTGATTCCCCGGAGGATTTGGATCAGTCGGAAATCCGACTTCAGTCTGTTGGATGCTTCCTCATTAACTGTCTGGATCACTTCCTCCTCTGGATTCTGTGCCTCATCCCCAGAATGAGAAGGTTAGTGGCTTTATCTAACTCTTTGCAAATCCTGAGTTTTATTCAGCCACTAACTAGTCTCTCTGTTCTCAGTGGTTCCTGGAAGCTGACTGATGTTCTCCTGCTTTCTGATCCTGAGTTACTGAATAAACCTTTTTACTTATCACTTTGTGTTTGGCTGAATTTGGGTTCTCTGTCTCTGGTCGTGATAAAAGGTCTTAAAGTCAGGAATCGAACCCAGGACGCCTGCATCGAGGACTAGCCTCTCTTTATGGTGTGCCTGCACTAATGCTACACCACACAACACCCACCCTTCTTTTAATTTCTGACCAGCTTTTTGCATGTGAACTCTGGTATTTTGACAATTTACATGTTGAATTTAAGTTTGAACCTGAACTTGAAAGCCTTTATTGTCATTGAACTGAGGTACAACGAAATTCAGAGTGCAACTCCAAATGGTACACATGTAAATACTAAAAAATACACATGCAGAAATTTAAAATACACAGTAAAGTAGTAATAGTAAAGTGAGTCTGGAAGTTCTGGATTTGAAGTATCTGTAGCGCCTACTGGAGGGTAACAGTTCAAACGGATGATGACCGGGCTGTGTAGTGTCCTATATTACGATTTTTAGCTCTTGAGAGAATGCGCCTGTTTGCAATGTCTGATGATGAGCTTCAAGTCTTAGAGGTAATCTAAAAGCCTCTCCAAAAAGTTAATATTTCTTTCAGTACCAATAGTAATAGAGAATTTATTTTATTTAAAATTCGAAAATATTGTAATTTGTGCAAAACATTGTATTTTTTAGCACAAGATCCATAAAAAATATTTTAAAATCTGAAATATTACTTTATGGCATACCCAATTTTGCCGTTAAGTCAGTCTTTCCCATGACGTTGTTTTTCAGACAGTCATTGAAGCCACCAAATGTTAATGCAAAAGAAGCTTTGCGTTAACAAAGTAATGTCTCCAAGCCAATTAATGGAAAGTTGAGTGGAATGAAAAAGTGTGGTTAACAGAGAAAAGTAAATTTTGACTACCATTCTGAAATCGATGTCCCGCAGGCTGGAGAAAGCATGGAGACTTGAGCCTCAGAGTGAAACCTTAACAGTCAGTGATGATTTAGGGAGCCATGTCATGTGCTGGTGTTGGTCCACTTTGTTTTATCAAGTCCAACGTTACCTCAAACTTCTGGCAGTATATTTAAAGCACTTCATGCTTTGCTCTGCCAACAAGCTTTGCAATAGATGCTTATTCCCCCTTCCACCACGACCCTGTATCTGTCCGCAATGCCAAAAGCATCTGGTTAATGTCCATGGTATCCCTGTGCTTGATTAAGATATGCCTGTATGTACAATGGTATAATAAAAAAAAGAATTGGCACCCTTACAGATTTCTTCTATTTTTGCTTTTTTTTCACTCTTAAATATTTTGGATCATCAACACATTTATCATTATTTATCATCATTCATCATTTATTAAGGGAAAAAAAGCTATCCAAATCAACATGGCCGCATGTGAAAAAGTTATTGCCCCATTGTTAAATCATGAATTACATGTGATTAACCACAAAAACTTAAATACAGTTTCACTGGCCACACCCAGGGTTGATTACTGCCAGACCTGTGAAATCGAGAAATCACATACAAATGGACTCTGTCTCACAACATAAAGTAGGCTAAAAGATCTCAAAAAGTAACACATCATGCCCTGATCTGTTTTTCATACTTCCAATTTTAGGCTCAGATCACCAATATGAAATGGATCACAATTTAATTTAGTTAAATAACTGATTGAGTTTTATTATTCTGCTTGTGAAAGTCCAGGTAATGAAATGACATGACAGTGCTTGGACCACACACAAATTTGATTATACACTTATTAAACATGGCTGTTGCGTCGAGCCAACTTCCATTTCAAGAAGTGTTTTTTTTACCAGTGAAGCCTCTGCATAGCATTTTACCTCTGTGGTGCATTCAAGTCGGATTACATATTCTAGTATCTATTTTAAAATAACTTCAAAATCTTTTTTTATCATCAATGGTCCTATTAACATTTTCTAAGTAATACCTTGAATATTTGCAACTGTTGGGATTTGTTTTTTCATTAAATAGTCAAATTTGGCCAAAACTCAACTCCTTTCTGTATTGGCCACTTTTCAAATGTTGCTAATTAAATAAGTACATTGGTTATGTAGCAGGACAGTTATCCAAAGCCCACCAGCATGTCCTCCCCTTAATGGCTCATTAAAACAAAATGAAGGTTGTGGAGGCACTGGGTGGCTCAGTTGGTAGCAGGTGCACCATATGCAGAGGCTAAAATCCTCGACTGTTCTGGGTGCTGGGTTCGATTCCCGGTCTCGGGCCATTTAATGCATGTCCCTTCTTCCTTCCCTTCTCTGCACACCCTGTTTCCGTCAAATTACCATTTAATAAATGCCACTAGTGCAAAGAAATGAAATGAAGGTTTTGGAGTGGCCTATTCAAAGTCCAGATTTAATTGCAATGCTGTTGCATGACCTTAAACAGGTCAATCATGCTTCAACCTAACCCCGAATTAAAACATTTCTGAAAAGAACAGTGGGTCAAAACTCCCTCCACAGATGTAAGAGACTAATCTGCTTTGACGTCTTCCTGTCAGGTTTCTGTGCTCACCACAGTAACAAGATATGAGCACTTGTCAGGTTTATATAAATAAACTGAATTCAATAGAATTGCCAGTTATCGCAAACGTTGATGGCAGCTGCCGACAGTGGCACAGCCAGTTATTAAGGGATAATTACTTGTTCACACAGGGTTAGGTTGGCTTGAATAGCTTTTTTGTCTTGATAAATGAAATCTGAAATTACATTTTGTAGTTACTCTGGTTATTTGTCTGATATAAGTGTGATTAAAAGCAAGAACATATGTGTGATGGGCCAATATATTTTCACATAATACTGGGTAAAGATATTCTTGCTTTACTGTTTCAACAGCCCTTGTAGCTCAATGCCGAGAACGTAATTTAGAGCAATTATCACTGTCAAAAAAGAATAATCTGGACAAGTTGCTATTGCAAAATTACAGGCCCATCTCAAATCTTCCATTCATCAGTAAGGTTATTGAAAGAGCTGTGTTTTAACAGTTAAATACCAACTTAACAATGACCAGCTGCTTTGACGTCTTTCACTCAGGTTTACTTGAAGGACAGGGATTATCGGAGGGTTACCTCCGAGTAACCGGGTGTCATTACCGCCAGCATGAATAACAATCTTACTGTATTTACGCTTATCCTTAGCCAGCAGTTTCAGGTAGGATTTGATGTCGCCCGTTCTGGCCCCTGGCAGACATTTGACTATGGT